ACTTGAAGGCCTTAACGATGAATCTAATAGAGGGTAATTGGCTTCAATTTACATGTTTCTTGCATATTTCTTAGGTTGAGCTCATGAAAATGTAATTTGTGTTTACCTAAGTGCATAAAACAAGCTACCACATCTGAAACAAGTACATTAATTTTTTGGATTGTGAAGATAAGTGTTTTTTTTCCCCAGTATATATGTATGCATGCTTTTCTTTATGATGCAGAACTGGTGACCTTAAGCTATGAATGTAATATCAGGTACTGGGACGTTGTCTGGAATTCTCCCGATGGTGGAAAAACTGGAGTATTTGAAGTGTATGGTTTTCTATGTTACTTATTTACAATTGATCAAATCAAAATCTGGCTAATTTAAGCACAAAACATGACCAATTACTGTAGGATCAAGGGTACTAATTTCAAGGTTATAAAGGAGACAGACGATCAAGTAGAGATATCATTTACGCGACCATGGGATCCCTCCCTCCAAGGCAAACTTGTTCCGCTGAATATTGACAAAAGGTCGATCTCGTTCCTAAATACTTCATATGGGGTAAAATGAGAATGTGCATACTACTAATGTTGAATTACTGATATTGTTGTGATAATCAAACTAATGATGGTGTAACAGGTTTATTTTGCTCCGTGGCTGCTCTGGTTTCTACTCTTATGCCATTTATGAGCATGTTGGTTCACCTGAGTGGCCTGCTTTCAGCATCGGTGAAACTAGAATAGCATTCAAGCTCCGGAAAGATAAGTAAGAAGAATTTTTCCTCCTTTTCCTACCCTTATGCTTATGTAGTGGTTGGTAAGAAGAACTAGTTGTATGTCATCACTCATCCGAGGCAAAAACACTAGGTGATTTCTTCTCATCTGGTCTAGCCTTGGTGGTTGGTGGACAAAGTTACCCCGGTATCTGTGCTGATGGGAGGTAATAGGTAACCCGTGGAAGTAATCTAGGTACACGCAAGTTGGTGTGGATACCTCGATTATCAATGTAAGAAAAAACTAGTTGTATGTTCAAAACCAAATGTCTGGTCTATAAACCTCAGATAAAAACCATTTTGGAAGAAATTATCAGTACAATTTCACTTAGTTAGAGGTCGATTATTCTTTGTCCAAGTGTCAAATATTTATCATTTCTTTAATCATAGATTCATGATAAGTTTGGTACTTCACTGGATAGGTTTCACTATATGGCTGTGGCAGACAATAGGCAAAGATTCATGCCTCTACCAGATGACCGAATGCCTGCAAGATGCCAACGCCTTGCCTATGCAGAAGCGGTCCTTCTGAATAATCCTGTGGAGCCAGAGTTAAGAGGAGAGGTAACTCTGGTTTTTCTGATTGTTCGGTTCCTTCAACTTTGCTAGAAAATGATATCCCACATAAGGATATGGATACAGTTTCTTAAACCACACTTCTGACATCTTTGTGTTTATTACCAACCCGATTGATACTTAACAAAATAGCTGATCACTTGAGGAATATCGATTCATCAATTTGATGATGTTCCTCAATATAAATGACAGGTTAAAAAAAGTATATTCATGAACCAGTTGAAAACTTCTTAACAGTAACTCATATTGACTTGTATAGATCCTCAAGCTGCTATAGCAAAATGGTTAGTTCTTTGATTCATCCCGTGCATACAGGTCGATGACAAGTACCAATATTCATGTGATAATAAAGACAACAAGGTCCATGGCTGGATATCTATGGATCCACCTGTAGGATTCTGGCAAATTACTCCAAGTGATGAATTTCGATCCGGTGGACCTGTCAAACAGAACCTCACATCCCATGTCGGTCCAACTACCTTAGCTGTAAGACCTTTTGTCTAACTCATTACTTTTACCATGAACATTTTCAACAAGATGGATACATTTAGTCATTTAAAGGTGAAATCGTGATATTCTCAGATGTTTCTAAGCTCTCATTACGCTGGGGATGATCTAACACCAAATTTTGCACAAGGTGAAGCCTGGAAGAAAGTTTTTGGCCCCGTGTTTATATATCTCAATTCTGTTATGCCGGGGGAGGATCCTGTCACTCTATGGGATGATGCCAAGATACAGGTTTAGCAGTGAAAGGATTTGAAATTTACTCCATACTTGCGTATGTGTTTTTGAATCCAAAGTTCTTATATCAGCTACTGATGCAGATGCAGCATGAAGTTCAAAGTTGGCCTTACAGTTTTCCGGTATCTGAGGATTTTCCATCAGCAGATCAAAGAGGCAGTGTTAGCGGTAAACTTTTGGTTCAAGACAAGTAAGGACATCATGATTTCCTCCTTGGATTTATATTAAACATTGTATTCAGCTAAAAGTTACTATGTAAAGTTTTTAAACTACTTTTGATAGGTACATTAGTGATGATCATATACCCGCAAATGGCGCTTATGTCGGCCTTGCTCCGCCAGGAGAAGCTGGTTCCTGGCAAAAAGAATGCAAGGTCATTTTCGCTTACCTAATTACTCCTAAAAATCTTCAAATTAACTTGCATAAAGAAGGAGACTTACAGTATAGCGCTCTCGGATGATGATGATAATTGTACACCTCGGAAATTGAAGTCTTGATGCCTTCTGTTTCAGGACTACCAATTTTGGGCTAAATCAGACAACAACGGAAACTTCTCCATAAACAATATACGTCCCGGTGACTACAAACTTTATGCATGGGTACCTGGATTCATTGGGGACTATCTATATGAGACTCCCATTTCCGTAACTCCAGGTCTTGAGACTATGTTTACTTCTCAATTCTATGCCTATTCTTTAACCAAACTCTCTGAATTTCATGGATTATGTGGTATATGGAAACAGGTTGTAGTATTGATGTGGACGAAATCGTATATCAGCCTCCAAGAGATGGCCCCACATTATGGGAAATAGGCATTCCTGATCGTACTGCTGCAGAATTTTTTGTTCCTGAACCCAACCCGAAATTTATCAACAAGCTTTTCGTCAATCATCCTGACAGGTTATTAATATACCTTTATCTATTGGCCGTAATTTTTGTTTCCTCTAGAGTAGAACACAGAATGATAAATTAACTCCATTTAGTTAAAAATAAGTTCCTTTCTCTTTCACAAAAGTTCATCACATCAGTCCAGTAAATATATGCATTGAGAATAGCATCTTCGTTTTTGCCTTTACAGGTTTAGGCAATATGGATTGTGGGATAGGTACTCTGAGCTATATCCAACGGATGATCTTGTGTATGTAACTGGAGAAAGTGACTATACCAAAGACTGGTTTTTCGCTCAGGTTCCAAGGTAAGCAATTCAGCAATCTGAAGAGTCGAAAACTGAAAAACTATGTTAAATTCCTCATTTTCACCAACATTTATCCAAGCAGAAAACATCTTATGCATGAATAATGACGAAGTACAGCGCCACATACTCTTCTCTCTTTTATAATTACCTGCTAATTAGTAATAAGACATTTTTTTGCAGGAGAAAAGAGGACGGCTCATATCAAGGAACGACATGGCAAATCAGATTTAAACTTGATTCAGTCAATCAAGGAGGAACATATAAATTGCGCATTGCAATTGCATCTGCTACTTTAGCTGAAGTGCAGGTACACTTATCGCTATTGATGTCAACTTCTCACCTATTTGGTTTGAAATATTTTACTCAAATTAGTCAGAAAGCACTTCTACATCCAGAATTAGTCCTTGATTAGTGTATAAAATTCACTATTGGCTAATACCTAACTTTAGGCCAAGTGAAATTGCGTTATTTGTACTCATACTCCCTCCGTCTCAGTTTATATGTCCTAGTTTGATTGGACACTGAGTTTAACAAAAGTAAATATTTGTATGACATACCAAAATGTCCTTGATCACATTGCATAATTTGTAGTCAATTATCTAATACTTTCTGAATGATCGAAAACAGAATCAGAACTCAAACCAGAAAGCCCCTTATTATATTCTTGCACTTGCAGGTTCGGGTGAATAATCCAAGCACAAATAGACCTGTATTTTCAACCGGATTGATTGGAAGAGACAATTCAATTGCTAGACATGGAATTCACGGATTATATTGGCTATACAATATAGACATACAGGGAAATCTGTTAGTACAAGGGGACAACACCATTTACTTAGGCCAACCAAGAAACCAAAGTCCTTTCCAGGGGATTATGTATGACTATATTCGTCTCGAAGCTCCACCAAACTAAGCAGTGTTTCAGATTTCCCTTTCTTGTACAGAGCTCAAGTAATTCTAATTCTAGAAATTGTTAGCTGTTTGATTTGTATTACCAGTTTAGCATTAACTTCTGGTTTGTGAAGCAATAAAATTCCACGTTTCGTTCAAGATGTAAACTGTTCCAATTACTTATGCAATCAACGATTGGGATTTAGCTCAGTGTTATACTGTTATTATACAAAATTGTACCATCTGTGCTACAGATTAAAGTATTTGAAGTCTACGGATTGATAATGTATGCACCTAGGCCTAACTCAACCTCGAAAGCTAGCTCATGAGAGGAGGATTGCCCAAGTACATATAAGCAAACCACCCGTCCATTTCCCAACCAATGTGAACTTTTACCCACTCTAACAACATGCTATTGCAAACTTTTCAATATACATAATTTTATAAAGATTCACTGGTCCAATAAATCATAGTAGTAATAACTAGCTACTACTTTTAATTTAATGCTTCCATATGGTACACACAATTTCTTTTGGTCGAGCATGAGTTTTTTTTTTTTTTGTACAAAACTTAAGTTTGAAATTGAAATTCTACCATTTATGGAATTTGGAATCAAAATTTCAAATTGAAGTAGATGTTTTGTTAGATATTGTAAACAAACACAAATTTCATGAATTCTGAAATTCTCACTAATGTCCCACATATTAGTCATGAATTCATGATCAGTTGTTACACGCTACAAAATATGTCTAATTGTACCATAATATTTCTCTTGTTTTTTTTTCTTTTCTTTGTCATACTTTTTGGACTTATAATATCTTTGGGAGTAAAGCTTAACAAGACATTCATAAAACAAGATCAATTATGGCACAAGGAGTACAGCTTCACCTTCAGGACAATCGCCATGTAATCATCTATGTTCTTCTTTCACTTGACTATGTGCCTGTTGACAGAGGCGGAACAAGGATTTGAAACTTACAAATTTTGGATTCTAATCTTTTTAAGTATATATTGGGTTCAAAATTAATAATTAATAGGTACTTAAAATTCTTCAGGTGGTGATGGATAATGGCATTCTCAAAGTGACTATATCAGTACCAGATGGAATTGTAACTGGAATCAGATACAATGGCGTCAACAATTTGCTCGAGGCTCGAAATCCTGAAGAAAACAGAGGGTAATTCCACCTGTCATTTCTTTAGCTAAAGTTTACTATAATCACAGTCGGATCCAGAATTTTGAGTTTAAGGGGTTCTGAATTTTAGAAAAGGAACTTTTACTGGATTCGGAAATATAGAGTTTTGACTTGTGCGTGTAACTAGAACTCTAGCTCTACCCTGACTACAATAAAATAAAATAGCCACTCTAAGTCATATTATGACATACTTGTGAAGAAGAAAAAAGAGATCAATTATTTAACTTCCCCTTTTTATCATGAAAATGAATAACCTAATTTCTCCTTGTGAATGTGAAAATGTGTAATGTTTTTCTCTAGATACTGGGACGTTGTCTGGAGCTCGACAGGAACTACTTCAAAATTTGAAAGGTATCTACCTAGCTATATATGTATATAGACAAAGAACGTCAAACAAAAATATTATTTTGTTAAACCAAAAGTATTTTGAGCAATGAAATTGTGTTACTTATATAATGTAGGCTCAAATGCACAAACTATAAGGTCATTTTGAAAACAAAGGATCAAATAGAGCTGTCCTTCTCAAGGAAATGGGATGTGTCCCTTCAGAACAAACTTATTCCCCTGAACATAGACAAAAGGTTGTTTTTTTCTTGGTTTTCTTTTCGTTCTTTAAATATTTGGTTGCATTTTTTGATTCGTAAATGGATTTGAGATGATACTTGATGACTAACCAGAAGTATGATATTTAGGTTTATAATGCTTAAAGGTTCCTCAGGATTCTATTCTTATGCAATTTATGAACATTTAGAGGGATGGCGTGATTTCCACCTTGATGAGACTAGGATTGCGTTCAAGCTCAGAAAAGACAAGTAAATACTCACTTTCTCTTCATCCAACTTATTTATCAAGTAGTAATAACGACTAACAGAGGTAGAATTTTCACCAAGGAGATTTAACATCTATATAATTTGATCTTATAAACATAGTGTGATTTTCCCGCGAGGGAGATTCAAATGAACCCCTACCACCCTCTAGCTCCGCCCCTGGTAATGGACAAGGAAAGTAGGTTTATAGACCTGTTTGCTAATGTTTCCTTGATGGCATATTCTTTCATAGTCATACTTACAAAATGATACATATATATACAATGTAAGTGATTTAATTGTTTGTATACATCAAAGACACATTGTGAATCTCTTATGTATATCTTCATTAGCAACATTTAAGAGGGATGTTTTATTGTCAAATCTTGAACACCTATCGACCAGGTTTCATTATATGGCCATGGCAGATAACAGGCGGAGATATATGCCTTTACCTGATGACAGGTTACCACCTAGAGGGGAACGACTTGCTTATCCAGAAGCAGTCCTACTTGTCGATCCCATTGAGCCTGAGTTCAAAGGCGAGGTGCCTATTTTCTTCTGTCATTTATTGAGATATAATTTAATTATTTAACTAAAAGTATGTTCTCTCTAACAACGTTAGCTTAAGATGTATCAGAGCATGCAGAGGTCATAAATTCTTATGTCAAACTCTCCACCACCCAAGAAAAAGCAAAAAATATTTCAACATATATGTTTGGCGCATGAAAAAAGAATCAATTCCACAGATGAGGAGGGGGCGTTGAGATGTGATCTAATTAAGTAACTAAAAGTGTGCTCTCGGCTTAAGTTTATTACTTCTGCTTACTTGTGCAAAGAAGCAATATTTCTACTTATACATTTCATAAGGACTCAAGAATTATTAGAATGCTATAGCGAAATGGTTAGTGAGTTTACTCATCCCATGCATGCAGGTCGATGATAAATACCAGTACTCGTGTGATAATAAAGACAACAAGGTCCACGGCTGGATATCTATGGATCCACCTGTGGGATTCTGGCAAATTACACCAAGTGATGAATTTCGATCTGGTGGACCTGTCAAACAGAGCCTTACATCCCATGTCGGTCCAACTAATCTAGCTGTAAGAGCTTTCTTCTAACTCATTACTGTTACCACATACATTTTCAACAAGATGGATGAATTCACAACAATAGAATACTTTTCCGCGGTTATACATTTAGTCAATAAAAGTGAAAAAATTGTGATATTCTCAGACATTTCTAAGCACTCATTACGCTGGGGCTGATCTAATACCAAAGTTTGCTCAAGGCGAAGCCTGGAAGAAAGTTTTTGGCCCCGTGTTTATATACATTAATTCTGTTAAGAAAGCAGATCCTGTTGCTCTATGGGATGATGCCAAGATACAGGTTTAGCAGTGAAAGGATCTGAAATTTACTCCAACTTTTGTGTATTAATGAATCAAGTACTTATATCGGATACTGATGTAGATGCAGCATGAAGTTCAAAGTTGGCCTTATGGTTTTCTAGCCTCAAAAGATTTTCCGTCAGCAAATCAAAGGGGCAATGTTAGTGGTAGACTTTTGGTTCAAGACAAGTAAGGGCATACTAACACTTTTACTCTTGAAAAATGTATTCAAATAAAAATTAATATGATTTTCTAAAGAATTTTAACTACTTTTGATAGGTACATGAGTGATGGTCGTATACCTGCAAATGGCGCGTATGTAGGGCTTGCTCGACCAGGAGAAGCTGGTTCCTGGCAAAGAGAATGCAAGGTCATTTTTGTTAACCTAATTATTTATCAATAAATTAAACATGTTAACAAAATGCTTGCATCAAAACAAGCAAGAGGACTTCCTGTATAGCGCTCCTGGATAACTTGAAAATTTGAAAAGAAAGTAAAGTCTTAGTGTTTTCTGTTTCAGGACTACCAATTTTGGGCTAAATCAGACAACAATGGATACTTCTCTATAAACAATATACGTTGCGGTGACTACAATCTTTATGCATGGGTCCCTGGATTCATTGGGGACTATGTATATGGGACTCCCATTTCCATAACTTCAGGTCTTGACTCCACGTTTATTATTCAGTTCAACTCCCATTCTTCAAACAAAAACTCTGAATCTCATGGATCGCGTGATACATGCAAACAGGTTGTAAAATTAATGTGCACGAAATCGTATATCAGCCTCCAAGAGATGGCCCTACATTATGGGAAATAGGCATTCCTGATCGTACTGCTGCAGAATATTTTGTTCCTGAACCCAACCCGAAATTTATCAACAAGGTTTTCGTCAATCATCCTGACAGGTTATTAACCTACCTTTATGTAGTAGTTTGTTTCCTCTAGAGTAGAATACGGAATGATAAATTAACTCCACGTAGTTAATACAATTCCCTTTTTTTCTCAAATGTCATCACATCTATCCAAAAATGTCGTGTGGCATTGAGAATAACATCTTTATTAATGTCTTTAAGCAGGTTTAGGCAATATGGATTGTGGGATAGGTACTCCGAGTTATATCCAACGGATGACCTTGTGTATGTAATTGGAAAAAGTGACTATAGAAAAGACTGGTTTTTTGCTCAGGTTCCAAGGTAATCTACAATCAGCAACCTGATAAGTTGAAAACTGAAATATTATGTTAAATTCCTCGTTTCTTTACCAACATTTATCCGTATCATTTAGTACTTCACAATCAAATTACAATGTTTCAAAAGAGTGTGATCATATAAATTGGGAAGCAGAACTAAGCAGAAACCATCTTTTGTGTAGGAGAAAAGAGGATGGCACGTATCAAGGAACGACATGGCAAATCAGATTTAAACTTGATTCAGTCAATCAAGGAGGAACATATAAATTGCGCATTGCAATTGCATCTGCAACTTTAGCTGAAGTGCAGGTACACATTTGGTTTCAATATATTACTCAAATTTGATCAGAATTGCACTTCTATAACCAGAAACAGTCTTTGATTAGTGTATAAAAATCACTATTGGCAAATAACTAACTTTTGACTTAGTGAAATTGCATAATTTGTACTCAAGTACTACTCCCTCCGTTCCATTTTATGTCTTAGTTTGACTAGACACAAAGTTTAACAAAATTAATTAAGGAAGACTTTTGACTATTGTGATCTTAAAGTAAATCTGTGTAACGTACCAAAATATACTTGAATCTTGTAATCTTAAACATGTCATGTGGGATTTGGAGTTAAAGAGTTACTGAATATAGAAAGTGACATTCTTTTTGCAACAAACTAAACATGAAAGTACGACACATGAATTGAAACGAATGAAGTATCTAATACTTTCTAAATGACTGAAAACAGAATCAGAGTTCAAGCCAGAAAGTTCCTTACTATATTCTTGTACTTGCAGGTTCGGGTGAATAATCCTAGCACAAACCGACCTCTATTTACAACCGGATTGTTTGGAAGAGATAACTCAATTGCTAGGCATGGCATTCATGGATTATATTGGCTGTACAATATAGACATACAGGGAAATCTTCTAGTGCAAGGGGACAACACCATTTACTTAGGCCAACCAAGACATCAAAGTCCTTTCCAGGGGATTATGTATGACTATATTCGTCTTGAAGCTCCACCAAACTAAGAAATGTTTCAGATTATTATAATTCTAAGTAAGTAAATTGTTTGTGTTCGATTTGTATTACCAGTTTATCATTAAAAAAGCAATAAAATTCCACATTGTAATGTATTACTTGCAAATGCAAAGGATATTGTTATGATCCTACTGCGAGGTATGAGATAACAATAGAGGATTCAAACAACCATGAAGTTTGCGGAATAAAAGATAGAGGATAAGACTTCTAACGATCTTTTTAAGATACATAGATTATCCAAAATTTCCATAGCTACAGCCTACAGGAGCTAATAGAAAGAGAGGGATACTCAACTCTTTTCCGAGAAAACCATGGGAGTCCACGTTTGTCTGGGCCGCAAACCATTCAAATATATGTGGTTAAACATGACTTGTCTTTTCATGCTCGAGCTTCCTTTCCTCAGAGTTGGGATCCCACAACCTCCCTTCTATGAAACTCACTTTGTTAGATTGTTCGAAGCAGATTGATTAGGCCGTGCAAGCATCAGAACATGCATTCTCGCGATCTACAGAGTCCTTAATGGCAAGCTGATGTGGGGCTTATATAGCCTTGGCTCTCCCACCTTAATAGCTAGCTTTTGGATTGTGTCTTTCTACTTATACAGTTGAAAATTTCGAGAAAACTATCTCACTATGATAGGTGCTATTATACAAATTGTACCATTTGTGCCACTAGATCCGCTCATGCCGCCATATATGAGTCAGATTGTCTAAAAGTAGTGTATTTTTGAAGGATTCGATATTGTATAACAATTAACAAGTCAGTAGAAATTGGAAACAGAGTCACTTGGAGATTGATTATTTTGCAATTCTATACAAAAATCATTTGGACTATTTGCTCTACTTGCCCTTCTAGTAACGCATATATTCTTGAATATTTTTTTTGAATCGAATTTAAGATTTAAAGGCATACTAAACATCACAATATCACATGCAATTCTTTGCGACCTTAATTGTTCTCAATTTTACAATTTTGTTTTAGTTTAATCTATTACTCCATCCGTTTCAAAATAAGTGTTATTTTGGCAAAACTCTCGTTCATTAAGAAATCAATAAATACATTATGTAATTTAGTAAGAAGATGGAGTATAAATGTCACTCAAGAAGAATCTTTTTCTTAGAAAAAATGGAAAACTAGAGATACTTGCAAGAACGTGTACAAATACTTAACCCTAAAAGTTACTTGGGCTGAAATGGGTTAAAATACGGGTCATAATAACTCAACCTGTCAAATTTTTAATAAGTTTTAATTGCTTTATTTATTTGTTTTTTTTATATAATTTATAGTGCCCTAATAAAACTACTTTCTTTTAATTATGTTTTTAAATCTTTTTTTTACCCCTTCCTAGGATCTCTCACTTTTTTTGCTCTCTTGGTAACTCGAACCCACAACCTTAAGGTGGAGGTAGGTGTTTACCATCTAAGCAATTCTCTCTTGTTTTTTTTTTTAATTATAGTTACATATAACATATCAATTTTTTATTTTTAAAAAAAAAAAGTAAATTTGAAAAAAAATTAATAAGATTTTTCATTGATCAATTTGATCTACATTTCAACCTATTTTTTTTGTGGGTTTAAATGAATTGAGCTAATAAATAAGCAGGTCAATAATCCACCCAACTTAAATAGGTTGTATTTTCACGGTTTACTTTTGTCACATCTTTTTTTAAAAATAAAAATATAGAAGTAGGGAAAGGGAAAATGTGGATGGGGTTGTAAAGTGGAATCGAACTCTCACCAATAAGGTGAAAGTTTATGTGGCCAACCAACTAAAATTTAGTTTCTCGTTATTCTCTTGGAATTCAACTCCAAACCTTATCGGATACTATTTACATACAACTACGTTACATTATCTAACGGTGTATATATCTTGAGCATATTAGATTTTGCCACCTCTAACTTACATATGCATAAATTTCTTGTAGAGATAATTTTACCAAGTGGTGAAATACGGTACGAATCAAAAATTCAGTTAATTTAATTTAGACATCAAAATGGTTGTTTTGTACGCTTCTCTAGAGTCTAACAAAAATAACATCTAATACTTTATACATGTTGTTAGCCATTTTGAGATGGACTTGTAATATACAATAAGTCTATCTATTTTGGGATCAATGGAGCTTGGGATTAGACACAAGCGTCTCAGTAATCTCCTTAGGATGAATTTAAGATATTTGAGCATGTAACACTTCAATCCATGACACGTATCGTTTGTGTTGACCTAATAGACTTTATGGATTTATTCCTTGAGCTACACCATTATTGAGTTTTAAAATGTATATAATATGTGAAGTTGTATTATATCTTGTAAAACTTTTCACTTTTCTCCTGCAATCATGTGATATTGCCTAAGATGTCAATGTGCACCTCTTCATCAGAAGCTTGTTAGCCTAGAAACTTGTCAAATTTTATCTTTTATAACCTGACTATTTACCCCTAAATTAATAATTGAGAATAACAATTGAATTTGTTGATGTCTAATTATACCAAATTAAACTAGTGATATACAATTTGGTAACATCAACTGAATTTTACTTTCTTGTTTTAAAAAACAAAAATTCAACAAAAGTACTTACTGATTAAAAACGGGTGTATATATTAATACCTTACATGCCTGCACTTTGCTAAACTACAAGAAGAGGTAAACAATCTCTCTCTCTTTTTATTTATTTTTTATGTCATACTTTTTGGACTTATCATATCTTAAGAAATTTCATTTATGCAGTAGTTAAGAAGACATTCATAAAACAAGATCAATTATGGCACAAGGAGTACAGCTTCACCTTCAGGACAATCGTCATGTAATCATCTATTCATAATTTAGGTGTTTGGCCATGAAATTTTTCACTTTTTTTTATGAGTTCACGTTTGACCATAAAATTACTGATTAAGTTGAATTCCAAAATTTTCAAGATTTTGGAAAACAACAAAAAAGGTATTTTCATTTTTTTTAACTTCAAATTACTCACGAAAAGTTAAAAATGATTTCAATTTGTATTCAATGGTCAAACACATTAGTCCCTTCATTCTATTTTATGTGGCACCGTTTGACTTGACACGGTGTTTTAGAAAAAAATGAAGACTTTTAAAATTTATGATCTAAAACAATTCATAGATATTTATGTGGATGTAAATCATTCATTAAGGATAAGTGAAATTTTAAAATTAAATTGTTTCTAATTATATTAAGCTAGCATTTTTTTTGAAAAGGACTAACAAGAAAAAAGGTGTCTCATAAAATGGGAGGGAGGGAGTACTCATTTTGTAGAATATATGTTCTTCATTCCTTTGATATGTGCATGTTGACATAGGTGATGCTAGGATTTGAAGCTTATGAATTTTGGATTTTAATCTTTTTAAGTATATATTGTGTTCTAAATTAATAATTTATACATATTTAAATTATTTTCAAGATAAATACGGAATTTGAACCAAAGCTATTGGTACTTATAGCCGACATTCTAGCTCCGCCTTGGCCTGTGGAAGCATATAACTTGTACTTGAAAAAGAAGATTAATTTCTAGATTAATGTATTCATTTGTTCCTTAATCAATACAGAGCATGTAGCTTAAAATGTAGCCATTTGTTCTTTTATAATGAAGTATAGTTAAGTTACTTCTGTTAGAGTACTGCGCATAGAAATAGGCCCGTAGTGCGCTCTCTGGATTTAGTCGGGATTTAATGTGAGTACCAGACAACAGGTAGGAAACCCAAAAAATAGAAGTATAGTTAAGTGTACTAGTTAATAGGTATTTAAAAAATTTCAGGTGGTGATGGACAATGGTATTCTCCAAGTGACATTATCAGTACCAGATGGCATTGTAACCGGAATCAGATACAATGGCGTCGACAATTTGCTTGAGGTTCTTAATGATGAAACAGACAGAGGGTAACTTCATCTGCCATTTCTTTAGCTCAAGTTCACTATAATCACAGTCGGATCCAGAATTTTGAGTTTAACGATTTTAAATTATAGAAATTAAAAACGTTTACTGGATTGTGAATAAATATGTATTCATATTAAGTGTATTTATCAAATGAAAATATAAACTTTTGACTTGTTCCTGCAACTAGAACTCTAGCTCTTCCCTTACTGTAATGAAATAAAATAGCCACTATAAGTCACATATTTATGAAGAAGAAAAAAGGAATCAGACACTTAAAAAATCTTTTTTTTCATGAAAATGAATCAACTAATTTCTATTTGTGAATATGAAAATGTGTAATGTTTTTCTCTAGATACTGGGACGTTGTCTGGAGCTCGACAGGAACTACAGGAAAATTTGACAGGTATATATAAATATATAGACAAAGAAACTCAAACAAAAAACTATTTTGTCAAAACCAAAAGTGTTATGACCAATAAAACTGTGTCACTTATATAATGTAGCCTCATATGCACAACCTATAAGGTCATATTGCAAACAAATGATCAAATAGAGCTGTCCTTCTCAAGGGAATGGGACGTGTCGCTTCAGAACAAACTTATTCCCCTGAACATAGACAAGAGGTTTTTTTTTCTCCGTTTTCTTTTCGTTCTTTAAATATCTCTGGTTGTACTTTTTGATTAGTAAATGGATTTGAGATGATACTTGATGACTAACCAGAAGTATGATATTCAGGTTTATAATGCTTAAAGGTTCCTCAGGATTCTATTCTTATGCTATTTATGAACATTTAAAGGGATGGCCTGGTTTCAACCTTGATGAGAATAGGATTGCATTCAAGCTCAGAAAAGACAAGTAAATACTCACTTTCTCTTCATCCATCTATTTTTATCCAGTTGTTGTAACGACTGGTGAAGGGCATGATTTTCACCAAGGACCGGGATTCAACATCTATATATATAATTTAATCTTATATATACAGTGTGGTTTGCCTGAGAAGGAGGTTCAAATGAACCCCCTACCACCCTCTAGGCTCTAGCTCCGCCCCTGGTCATGACAAGGAATGTATGTCTATAGACCTATTTGCTAACATTTTCGTGATGGCATATTCTTTTATAGTCATACTTATGAAATGATAAATATACAATATAAACGATTAATTGTTTGTATACATCAAAGACACATTGTGAATCTCTTATGTATATCTTCATTGGCAACATTTAAGAGGGATGTTCTATTGCCTAATCTTGAACACCGGTCGACCAGGTTTCATTACATGGCCGTGGCAGATAACAGGCAGAGATATATGCCTTCACCTGATGACAGGTTACCACATAGAGGAAAACCACTTGCTTATCCAGAAGCAGTCCTACTTGTCAATCCCATCGAGCCTGAGTTCAAAGGCGAGGTGACTTTATTGAGATATAATTCAATTATGTAATTAAAAGTATGTTCTCTCTAACAACGTTAGCTTTAGATCGGATGGTTACATGCTTCGACATGTATCAGAGCATACAGAGGTCATAAATTCTTATGTCAAACTCTCCACCACCCATGAAAAAGAAAAAAATATTTTAACATATTGTTTGGCGCATGAAAAAAGAATCAGCTCCACAGATGAAGAGGGGTGTTGAGATATGATCTAATTAAGTAACTAAAAGTGTGCTCGCGCGGCATAAGTTTGTTACTTCTCTTTACTTGTGCGAAGAAGCAATATTTCTAGTTGTCAATTTCATAAAGACTCAAGAACTATTAGACTGCTATCGCGAAATGGTTTGTGCTTTGATTCATCCCATGCATACAGGTCGATGATAAATACCAGTACTCGTGTGAAAATAAAGACAACAAGGTCCACGGCTGGATATCTATGAATCCACCTGTGGGATTCTGGCAAATTACTCCGAGTGATGAATTCCGATCTGGTGGACCTGTCAAACAGAACCTTACATCCCATGTCGGTCCAACTACTCTAGCTGTAAGAGCTTTCTTCTAACTCATTACTTTTACCATGAACATTTTCAACAAGATGAATAAATTCACAACAATAGGATACTTTTCCGCGGTTATACATTTAAAAGGTGAAATGTGTTATTCTCAGATGTTTATAAGCTCTCATTACGCTGGGGATGATCTAATACCAAAGTTTGCTCAAGGGGAAGCCTGGAAGAAAGTTTTTGGCCCCGTGTTTATATACGTTAATTCTGTTAAGCAAGGAGGACATCCTATTGCTCTATGGCATGATGCCAAGATACAGGTTTAGCAGTGAAAGGGTTTGAAATTTACTCCGGATTTTGTATGTGCATGATGTCAAAGTACTTATATCGGCTACTGATGCAGATGCAACATGAAGTTCAAAGCTGGCCTTACAGTTTTCCAGCATCAGAAGATTTTCCATCAGCAAATCAAAGAGGCAATGTTAGTGGTAGACTTTTGGTACAAGACAAGTAAGGACATAACACAGTTCCTCTTGAAAATATGTATTCAAACAAAAAGTTAATATGATTTTCTATGGATTTTTAACTACTTTTGATAGGTACAAGAGTCATGGTCATATACCAGCAAATGGCGCTTATGTTGGGCTTGCTCAACCAGGAGAAGCTGGTTCATGGCAAAGAGAATGCAAGGTCTCTTTTCTAAGCTAAATATCTATCAACAAATTAAACATGTTCCCAAAATGTTTGCAAAAAACAAGCAAGAGGACTTCTAGTATATCGGTCCACAATGATGATGATGATTGTAGATCTAGATGTGAACTTGATATTACGATCAAATGACAAGCTGAGAAATCCCCTCCTAAAGTTGAATGCTCTGTTTGACATTGCATTTCGGTATAAATGATTTACTTAACTCAAAAATTTGAAAGGTAAAACTGAAGTCTTAGTGTTTTCTGTTTCAGGGCTACCAATTTTGGGCTAAAACAGACAACAATGGAAACTTCTCTATAAAAAATATATGTCGCGGTCACTACACTCTTTATGCATGGGTCCCTGGATTCATTGGGGACTATGTATATAAGAACCTCATTTCTATAACTCCAGGTCTTGACTCCACGTTTATCATTCAATTCAACTCCTATTCTTCAAACAAAAACTCTGAATCTCATGGATCGCGTGATGCATGCAAACAGGTAGTAGAATTAATGTGCACGAAATCGTATATCAGCCTCCAAGAAATGGCCCCACATTATGGGAAATAGGGATTCCTGATCGTACTTCTGCAGAGTTTTTTGTTCCTGACCCTAACCCGAAATTTATCAACAAGCTTTTCATCAATCATCCTGACAGGTTATTAACCTACCTTTATGTATTGGCCTTATTTTTTATTTCCTCTAGAGTTGAACACGGAATGATAAATTAACTCCACATAGTTAATACAATTCCGTTCTCTTTCTCTAATGTCATCACATCTTTAAATGGCAGGTTTAGGCAATATGGATTGTGGGATAGGTACTCCGAGTTACATCCAACCGATGACCTTGAGTATGTAATTGGAAAAAGTGACTATAGAAAAGACTGGTTTTTTGTTCAGGTTCCAAGGTAATCTAATCAGAAATCTGATGAGTTGAAAACTGAAATGTTATATTAAATTCTTCGTTTCAAATTACAATGTTTCAAAAAAGTGTGATCATATAAATTGGGAAGCAGAACTAAGCAGAAACCATCTTTATGTGTAGGAGTAACAATGATGGCACGTATCAAGGAACGACATGGAGAATCATATTCAAACTTGATTCAGTCAATCAAAGTGGAATGTATAAATTGCGCATTGCAATTGCATCTGCATCTTTAGCTGAAGTGCAGGTACACTGATCCCTATTTATGTAAACTGCAATTTGCAATTTGTAGTCAATTACTCCCTCCATTTCATTACGTGTTTTAGTTTGATTGGACATAAAGTTTAACAAAAGTTATTTAGGAAGACTTTTGACTCTTATGATCTTAAGGTAAATATGTGTGTAACGTACATCTTGTGGTCTTAAACATGTCACTTGGGATGTTGAAGTTAAAGAATTACCAAGTATAGAAAGAAACATTATTTCTGCAACAAGCTTAAAAGGAAAGCATGTATGAGTTACGACTGAAGTATCTAATACTTTCTAAATGACCGAAAACAGAATCAGAGTTCACACCAGAAAGTCCCTTACTAAATTCTTGTATTTGCAGGTTCGGGTGAATAATCCGAGCACAAACCAGCCTCTATTTACAACCGGATTGATTGGAAATGACAGCTCAATTGCTAGGCATGGAATTCATGGATTATACTGGCTGTACAATATCGACATACATGGGAATCTGCTAGTGCAAGGGGACAACACCATATACTTAGGCCAACCAAGACGTCAAAGTCCTTTCCATGGGATTATGTATGACTATATTCGTCTCGAAGCACCACCAAACTAAGCAAATAATAGTATAATTCTAACAGTCTATTTGGTTGTATTGCATATTGTATTGTATTGTATTGTATTATTTTGAATGAATATAATGTTTGAATAGATTGTATCGTATTGAAATCAACTCTCACAATATTGAGGATGTAACTAATTACATGTCACACCACAACCAATGACATGTATTGTTTGTTTTGGCCTAACAAACCTTATAAATTTGTCCTTTAAGCTACGTTATCATTGAGTTCAAAAATACACGTAACATGTAAAATTGTATCATATCTTGTAAAGTTTTTCACTTTTCTCCTATAATCATGTGATATTGCATTGCCTTCATCATAAGCTTGTCAGCCTAGAAATTTATCTATTCGTATCTTTAACCTGGCTGTTTACTCCTAAATTTGTGACTTAGAATAACAATTGAACTTGTTGATGTGGTTCAAGGACACGAGATTGAGATGACCAAACAATGGGATTTGTTTTGACCGGCCGGCCACTATATTACATCTCCAGGGCCAAGGACATGACTCAGATTTTTCAAGAAAACATTTTTCTTCATACCAAACACACCTTATAGGTCTCGTCCTTCGGGTGACGGGAGCTACGAGCCATGTATGTTGAGATCAATATCATCTTTATTGAGTCACGTTTGATTTTTCTTCAATTTCAACGTGTCATCATTTGATACGGCCAGCTATCAAATCCAAATTTTGACCCATACGACATCATTGCGAGGTGTCACATAACATGATTCAATATTCTGGGAATCAAAGCAAACTTGAAATTCACTTTTTTTTTCCATTGGGCAAGTAATTTAAATACTACTCTAAAATTCCCATCAGTGTCCCACATATAAGTAGTGATTTCATGATCAGTTGGCACTTGGCACACTCCCCCTTGTCCATTCTTACACGCTAAAAGAAATATATGAATAATTGTACCAAACCAGTGTTGACGAGTAAGCTAAGTTTTCGATCGAACACGCGATATGAAGTCATGATTTGAGATCATGATTTTAAATCCTAAATTGTCCAAAAAAAAACACGATTTGAGATTTTTAATCATGATTTCAATTATTTTTTAAAATGTAAAACTTGACCATGTGTTCAAATTTTGTAAAAAAAAAAAAAACTCATACATCGCGCGAAGAGATTGTTCGTATCATGTGATAGGATTATTTTTAAGAATAACTAGTTATTAGACTAGTAAATCTTTATTAAATTATGTGTATTTGAAAGTTTGTAATCACAAATATTTATTCATAAGAGAAACATCGAGAGATGTGATGTATCAATACAGTACCTTAGGATATTATGATATATTATTTATGAGTTATGATTTGCTCATTTAGTAAGATTGTATAAGAATTTTGATTGTTTTCACAATTTATGGAATTTTATATTTATGAAGAAAAAAAATACAATTTAAAAAATTCAAATTATTTATCCAAACAAAATTTCAAATCATAATTTCAAATAATGATTTTATATCACATATTCAAACTTTGTTTTCTTTTTACTTAATTATTACCTTTCAAGGGAAGTGTTGAATCAAACATATGCATATTAATACCTAACATTATTCTGCTTCTGCCAAACTGCAAGAAGAGGTCAAATAATATTTCTTTCTTTTTTATTATTTTTTTATGTCATGTTTTAGGATTTCAATTTCTTGGGGAATAAAATGAAAATTTTATTATTTTTTTCATTTTTGCAGTATTGAATTAAGAAGAAGCTAAGATTAATGACTGCTCCAGGAGTACATCTACATCTTCCCGATGATCACCATGTAATTTATTCATCACTATATCATTTTGAAGAAATATTTTTTCCTCATGTATAACTATGTCCGAGTTAATTTCACATATGATCACTAAACTTACTCTTTATAACATTAAGGCCATAAAACTATATTTTTTGTCTAACTATTTGGAACACTAAAGTCACAAAACTAGTTATGTAACAACTACTACCGGAAATAGAGTTTTTTGTTTTCCAAATTTATGCTACAAACATGATTTTCCCACTATATTTCCATTGAACCAGCTCATTGGAAAAATGCACGTGGAAAATATATTTTCATTGAAATACTGCGAATAGTTATTGGGCATTATTCTTTCCTCAATCAAAATATCTATGAGAGTAGCCTGTGAACATTTTTCAGTGAAAAATTTCAATGGAAAATAGTGATGTTTTTGTAGGGAGTAAAGTTACTAAACTATGTTACTTGCACAATAATAAAAAACACTACAAAGTTGGATTTTTATGATAAAATTCTTCAGGTGATGATGGACAATGGCATTCTCCAAGTGACTTTATCAGTACCAGATGGCATTGTAACTGGAATTACATACAATGGCGTCGATAATTTGCTTGAGGTTCTAAATGATGAAACAAACAGAGGGTAAGTAACTCATATTTAACTTCCCTTGTGGAAAATGAATCAAGTAAGTTCTCCTTTTTGATGAATGTAACAATGTGTAAATGTAATGCTTTCTCTAGATATTGGGACGTTGTTTGGAGTTCGACAGGAACTACAGGGACTACTGGAACATTTGAAAGGTCATACCTCGTATATATAGACAAAGAATCTCAAACAATAAACTTATTTTGTAAAATAAAAAGTGTTTTGAAGAAATAAAATTATGTCACTTATATAATGTAGGCTCATATGCACAACACATAAGGTCATATTGGAAACAGATGATCAAATAGAGTTGTCCTTCTCAAGGACATGGGATGTGTCGTTCCAGGACGAGCTTATTCCCCTGAACATAGACAAAAGGTTGTTTTTTTTTCTTCGTTTTCTTTTCGTTGTTTAAGCATCTGGTTGCATAAATAGTAAATGGATTTGAGATGATACTTGATGACTAATTAGATGGATGATGTTCAGGTTTATAATGCTTAAAGGTTCCTCGGGGTTCTATTCTTATGCAATTTACGAACATTTAGAGGGATGGCCTGGTTTCAACCTTGATGAAACTAGGATTGCATTCAAGCTCAGAAAAGACAAGTAAATACTCACTTTGTCTTCATACTCACACACATTGTCGATCCCAACTTGTTTGGGACTGAAGCATAGTTGTATGTTGAGAATACAATTAAATGATTAAAGTGTGCTCTCTTTAACAGCTTAAGCTTTTAGATAAGATGGTCACTCACTTCATCATTGTATACATCACAGACATGTTGTCAAGTGTCAATCTCTTAATTATATCTTCGTTGACTACAATTGAGAAGGATGTTTAACTGTCTAATCTTGAACGTCGACCAGGTTTCATTACATGGCTATGGCAGATAACAGGCAGAGATACATGCCCTTACCTGATGACAGGTTACCGGATAGAGGGCAACCACTTGCTTATCCAGAAGCAGTCCTGCTTGTCAATCCCATCGAGCCTGAGTTCAAAGGCGAGGTACCTTGTTTCTTCTGTCATTTGTAGAGATATATTTTAATCAAGAAATTACAAACATGTTCTCTCTAACGGCATAAGTTTTGGATGAGATGATACACGATTCGACATGGTATCAGAGCATACACTAGTCATGTATTCATATATCAATCTCTCCGTCCAAAAAAATATATATTCTAACATGCTTGGCTCATGACAAAAAGAATTAACTCTGCACGAGAGGATGTGGTGTTGAGATATAATCTAATTAAGCAATTAAAAGTGTGCTCTCAGCTTAAGTTTAATTGTTACTTCTTTTTACTCGTTGCGAAGAGGCAATATTGTCCAATTTATCAATTTTACAAGGATATGTTCTTGATTGATAATGCTATCAGGTTGATGACAAGTATCAGTACTCATGTGAGGACAACGATCTCAAGGTCCATGGATGGATTTGTATGGATCCATCACTAGGATTCTGGATAATTATTCCCAGTGACGAATTTCGATCTGGAGGACCCCTTAAACAAAACCTCACATCTCATGTTGGTCCAACTGCTCTTTCTGTAAGTAACATAATCACAAGCCTTTAACACATTTTCTTGTCTTGATTGTGTCAAGAGATGTTATTTTGCATGCAGGGGCGGAGCTGGAAACTAATATATTCGTATTAAGAAATTCACTAAATATGTACAAAAATTGAATTCAGAACTCAATTACTAACACCTGATATCGTTATTCTAGAATTTAAAATTCATGAAGTTTAAATCCTGACTCTCGCCTCTTTTTGCAGGTGTTTCTCAGTGCTCATTATGCAGGAGAAGATTTGGTTCCAAAGTTTGGACAAGGGGAGCCATGGAAAAAAGTCTTTGGACCAGTTTTTATATATCTGAATTCTGTCACTTCAGGGGAGGATCCTATAACTCTCTGGGAGGATGCTAAAAAACAGGTATAATTAAGTAAAACAGATTATTTTTTTGTACAAAAAACTGAACATAAATGGTATCTTTGAGATTTTCTTTATATAATGTAACATGATTATCTAAGCACTGAATGCAAAAACCAGATGCTGATGGAAGTTCAAAGCTGGCCTTACAGTTTTCCAGCCTCTGAGGATTTTCCATCATCTTCTCAACGCGGTAATATTAGTGGAAGATTGTTAGTCCTAGACAGGTATTATTTGCTAATTTGCTCTAATGTTATCCAAGGGCAGAGATAGAAGGTTGCCTATGGGTTTGTCGAACCTAGTAACTTTAGTCCAAACACACTATCTGTATTAAAAATCCACTAAATATGTATAAAAAACAAAATTCAGAACCCAATTACTAATACCTGATATCGCTATTCTAGAATTTAGGACCTAAAAAGTTCAAATCCTGGCTCCGCCTCTATTGTTGCCATATTTTCATTTTTCTTTTGGAGGATCCATTTACTCTATGGTCATTGGTTCTACTTATATTCTCGTTTGTTTTACTTAGATACTTCAAAGACGATAAGATATCTGCTTCTGGTGCATATGTTGGTTTAGCTCCACCAGGAGAAGCTGGTTCCTGGCAAAGAGAATGCAAGGTGATTCAGGAGAACATAAAAACTCAATCAGTACTCGAAAACTACTTAGAATTTGTTTTCTGTTCAACAATTTCAACCGTTGATGTTAATCAGGACTACCAATTCTGGACAAGAGCAGATGAGGAAGGCAATTACGTCATAAGTAATATACGAGCAGGCGACTATAACTTGTATGCATATGTCCCTGGATTCATTGGAGACTACAAGTACGATATCAAAATCACAATTACCTCAGGTACTAATTTTCCATTTTGGCAAGTAGACCATTATTTCAAGCTTTTCGAGATTATGAGCCAAAAATTAACATGTTATAAATCAGGCTGCAGCATTGAGATGGATGATCTTGTCTTTGAACCCCCAAGAAATGGACCTACACTCTGGGAAATTGGCATTCCTGATCGTTCTGCTCGCGAGTTTTACATTCCTGATCCTGATCCAAAATATGTTAACAAACTCTTTATTAATCATCCTGATAGGTTAGCTTTCTCCTCCCTCATAGATAGTTTTAATGTTTTTTTCTTCATCTCATCGTTGATCACCATCATCATCAACGTCCTCAGGTTTAGACAGTATGGGCTATGGGAGAGATACGCCGACTTGTATCCAAATGGAGATATAGTCTTTACAATTGGAGAGAGTGACTACAAAAAAGATTGGTTCTTTGTTCAAGTCACTAGGTAAAAAACAGCTAAAGCACTAATTAGACCTAATATTCGATGCCTTCAGTGAAATGAAACATGAATTTTCTTCCTTTTTTTCGTGTTTTTTGGGCATGTTAGGAAAACTGATGAGAAGACATATCAAGGAACAACATGGCAAATAAAGTTCAAACTCGACAATGTTGATCAAAATGAAATCTATACACTAAGATTGGCACTTGCATCAGCAGCTCAAGCTGAACTACAGGTACATATAGCACAATATTAATTTCACATCATTTTTTTCTTATCATCATTAGAGTATTATCGAGTCAACAATACAAGAAATCATTGAAATGTAACTTGTAGGTTCGCGTCAATGATAGTTCAAGCATGAATACTCCTCTATTTTCAAGTGGAGTGATAGGGAAGGATAACGCGATAGCAAGACATGGAATTCATGGACTCAACTGGCTGTTCAATGTGAATTTGCAGGGTACTATACTAATTGAAGGGGAAAATACTATATATTTGACACAAGCAAATGCAACTAGTCCTTTTCAAGGGATCATGTATGATTATATTCGTTTAGAAGGACCTCCTTCCCATGACTAAGGCAAATTGTTTGAGAATTCATTGTATAGATATTATATTATTTTTAACTTTTGTAAGAGTTTAAGTTATATAGACCAACAAAAGAACAGATTCGCGTAGATTCTCTATGCATGCATTATCGACCCAAATGTTGGCATATAGTATGTACTAATTAATTTCTTTGAATGTTATCAACCAATGTTTATCATTTTCTTCTTCTTCTTTTGAATTTTGTGCATTGTTCCATATCAATTATTTTAAGGATTTTTGGCACATACATAGTATGTAACTCTCTAACATTCTTTCTTTTTATTTATTTTTTCTCTTCTACAGTATTTTTTTTAATAAGGAAACAGGCTGATTTCACCTTGGTTAAAATGCCCACTAAAAGCAATGGTAACCAAGCATTTGTAGTCCATGATCAGAAAATTCAGAGGGAAAAAGAAAAAAATATGGTACATTTAACAACGTCAATATATGGAATTTAAATTCTTAAAAATAATAATTTAATAGTTTTGATTATAAAAATTGTTTGATTCCCTAAACGAAACTATCTTAGCTTGAATCCTTCTCAAAATAAGTAATAGGCTAGTTGCTGCTTCTGCTCACTTTTTTGTTTTGGTGCAAATTCGCTAACCACATAGTTGAGGGGGTTTCGAACTTGAAGTCTTCAACATAGAAGTCTCAAGCCCAAATCACTGGGCCATCCCGAAGGGTACCTCTGTTCACTTTTTATCTATCTAGTATCCAAAAAATATATTTTCATTTTTATTTGTCACATTTAAAATAAAAAAGAATTACAGTATATTTTATTTTTAATATTGATTACTTATTTCTCAAATTATACTTATAAACCTAAGACTATAAACTAATTAATTAATACAAACATTATAATAAATATTCATATTAGATTAAATTAAATTATAAATCTTTCTTTGTTGTCTATACGCTGTAGCATTCACGTGTCTTGTTCTTTTCTCTTTTTGGTATCTTCAAATATGTATTGGGAGAAGAGAGAATTGTATAATATTCACTGTTTTTGCCCCTGCCTTCAAACAGAACTTTTGCACCTTACTTGCTGCGTCGAGAATGCTGCCAGAATGACAAAAGTTGATGTGATGTTGCTTTAAGATAGAGACAAGGAAATATTACACAAGGAAAGTAAAGGCTGGCATTTGGGAAGGCGATACAACAATAACATACTATAATTTCATTAAAAAATCTGAAAAAAATAATTATACCAAATCTAATTCATATATTTAGAAATCGTAACGTATAAGGTATAATAAATGCATAATACATAAATATAGTTCTTAACTTGGCTTCAGCTGACAACTAAATTTAAGTGTTTATTTGTGCACTATCAAAGTTAAAGGTCATAGTTGACTACTGTAATCAAATTAAGGGTCATATTTATGCATTATGCCTATAATAATCTATGCATTTGGTTTGAAGTATTAGACAGTCTTGAGATTATTATCTCACCATTTATATCTAGATGGGATAAGTCATCACATATATATGATGGAATAACTTATTATCCCGTCATTTATATCTTAGTGATGGATAAGTCATCCATATATATAATGGAATAATTTATTAATCTTGGGTTTTGTTTTGTGAGGCTTACTGTTAAATTAGGTTTTAGATCTAACTCGAACCCCAAAAGCTAGCTCAAAGAAAGAAGAATTGCTCATGCCTTGTGAGTTGTGATCGTCTAATTTGTCAAAGACACAATTGGCTTGTAAATAGGAGTAGCTTTGGCGTAAAGACACTCAAACATGAACAAATTAAGGAAAGAAAACGAATCCTTTACTGGAGTGGGGGAGGATGGTATATTTATACGTGTCAAATGAGCGAATTGGGTTAAATTTGAATAGGTCAAGATAATTTGAGCTTAATAAATTGACAGGTTATTAACCCTTGGAAAAATAACTAGGGCTGAAATAAATTAAAATGCAAATCAAAATTTAACATGTCAATTTTTACTAAATATTTTAATAATTTCTCATGTTTCAATTTGGATTAGATATCAATTCAAACTTTGATAGTCTAAAATGGGCTAACTAATAAATGAACGAGTCAATAATCAGCCCAAACTTTGTCAGACTAAATTAAATAGGCTTAGCTAATAAATAGACGGGTCAATAATCCACTTAAACTTGGGCATAGGCAAATTATGATTTCATATATATATATATATATATATATCTTCCTTATCCACACTTAGAAATTCTAAGTTTCTTATACACATTGAACTTATATATTTGTGCAGGTTTAGTTCAATATTAAAGAATCTTTCTAGCTGCTCCAAGTTCTGTTTTGCATTATGATTGTACCAAAGCATTCACAAATATCAACTCCAGTTCTGCAACTTCTTCAGCAAGAGGACCAAGTACAGTATATAATATTAATACATTATTATTTCTCATATAAATAGTGCAGTTATTTCTTTTCATTCAACTAATGCAGATTTTTATCTTGTAAGGCTAATAAATAGAGAGAAGAGCTCCCTATCATGAATTTTTTATCATTTTTAAAGCTCGAACCCAGGACATATCAAATTAAAGGTTTTGAGTCCTCTTTTCAATGCCATCAAATTTGCCTAATTTCGAGTCCGGAGTGAAAAGTTATGCTCATTTTAGTAAACCGTGAGTATATAAGAGTCATATTTGTTGGTTAATACAATCAAAGGTTGTGGCGAAGGGTAACAAGTAGACATTCATCCTTAACTAGAAGTCTCAGCTTTAGCTCTTTCATCAGGTGTCAGGTTTGAGTCTCCTGGTTATGGAGTCGTTTTTATTAAGGAGTGGTTTAGCCCCCAATATGAGACTTTTCAAATACGAATTCAGATTTAGTCGAACTCTAACATAAATATCAGACACCGAATGGAATAACCAAAAACAAAAAAAAAACCTTTGACTGTACTGCAAGTGTCAAAATTGACCCATCCAATCCTTTTATGTTTGGATGGGTTAATTAGCTTAAGCTCATCTTGACCCGCCCATTTTGACCTTCTTGTAGTACTTGTGTTTATCAGATAAGCCAAAAAAAGGACTAAAATATGGTCTTTAATTTATTCAACACCTGAAGTTGCAACCAGTAGAGCCATTTTGATATGTTTTATTATAAGTGCAGGTGGTAATAGATAATGGCATATTCCAACTCAGATTGACAAATCCAGGAGGAAAAATCATTGGAATTCAATATAATGGGATTGAAAATTTGTTGGAACTCAACAACCCAATCTTGAATGGAGGGTAAACTGCACGAATTTTACTTTTTTTTGTTCCATTTCAGTCTGTGTTTGGTATGATGAAAGTCATTTCTCATGAAAAATGTTTTCAAGTGTTTAGTTGGTGAGTACAAATGTTCGCCAAAGAAAACATATATTGTCTCAAATATTAATAATTATATTACCAGATCGGAGAGTGTATCAACTTATGACAAGAGTTAATGGTCAAAAACACACTAAAACAATTTTATTTTTTTTAGAGTTTCATTCCTTAACTATCTGTTATTTCCTTTACGTTTCAACCAAAACTATCAGTACCTTTATATTAAAAAAACATATCTATGTTGAGTGGCCAAATATTGTTCCCACTTGAGAACAGTCTTGTGTAGGTCAACGCAGCATCGAGGTGTGTTTTAATACAAATAGTTTAGGTAGTAAATAGAACAATGGATAGTTGAGGTATGAAATCGCGAAAAAGTGATAGTTCAGGTGTGTTTTTGACCATTAACAATGTTACGTTAGTTGGAGAAAACTTAAAAGTAGAAAAAGATGTAAGTTATCACTCTGTGTATATTGAGTTCATGTAGCGGGAAGTCACTTACTTATTATTTTAGCTACTTTACAATTGATATGCAGGTTCTGGGACTTAAACTGGAGTGTACCTGGAACTTCTGGAACAAGAGGAAAATTTGATGAGTATAATATCTCCCCTTAAACCACAAAATAACCATGATCTAGTGATGCATATTACTTATCATAATTTCTATATCGGTGTTCATAATTAGCTATTATGCAGGATTGAATGTAATAGTTTTAAAGTTATAGTGGAAACTGAAGAACAGATAGAGCTCTCCTTTACAAGGACATGGGATCCTTCACTTCAGGGCGACCAATCCCCGTTAACCATAGACATAAGGTTCAAGTTTTTTTGTGTGTGTCTTTTTTTCATACACATGCATATATAATATATCTCATGTTTAAAGTAGAGTTTATTGTGGTCATTTCTTTAGCAGCACTGAGATATGGTAATTTCAGGTACATAATTCTTCGTGATTCGCCTGGTTTTTACTCTTATGCTATTTATGAACACAAAGAGAATATGCCAGCATTCAACCTCAACGAAACCAGGATAGCTTTCATGCTCAGCATCGAAAAGTACTATTTCTCCCTCTGTATAAAAACTTCTTTTTCAATCAAGAATTGGAACTTCTGAAAGCTTAATGTTGTTCTCTTACAAGACAAAAGAGTACTTAGTTTCATCAACAAAACTGCTGAATTACTGATGAAGTGATGTACTTGTATCCAACTTTTAGGTTTCGGTACATGGCTATGGCAGATGATAGGCAAAGACTAATGCCCCTTCCTGAAGATCGGGTACCTCCAAGAGGGAAGGAATTGGCATATCCAGAAGCAGTCCTGCTAGTCGATCCTGTGGAGCCAGAATTCAAAGGAGAAGTAAATGCAACACTCTCTGTTTGCCCGTAAAAGTGATTCATATTTGATATGTATGATTCACTTAGTACTTAAGCCTCAAAATTTATGTTTTCCTTCCAATAAGTAGGTTGATGACAAGTATCAGTATTCATGTGAGAACAAAGATAACAAAGTCCATGGCTTCATTTGCTTAGATCCTCCTGTGGGATTCTGGCAAATTACGCCAAGCAATGAGTTCAGAACAGGTGGACCTATCAAACAAGATCTTACTTCTCATGTTAATCCAACAACTCTGGCTGTAAGTAGTTGAAAACCTTTTGAGTTTCGACTCATCAAACATTTGAAGTAATTTAAGTTTTATTGATCAAAATGGTTTTTAGATGTTCATGAGCACTCATTATGGAGGCCAGGATTTCGTGACTCAATTTGAATCAGGCGAACAATGGAAGAAAGTTTTTGGACCTGTTTTTATATATCTCAATTCTGTAGCAGACAAGAATGATACACTTTCCCTATGGGATGACGCGAAAGAACGGGTA